GAATGCGCTTCCCAGGCATCCATGCGGCTAGAGAACGGTAAATTATTATAAGTTGTAGTACTTTTTCTTGTTTTTTCGCTGTGATACGACAGATTCATCATGAAGTGATGGTCTAGCGTATACGGTTATTTGATACAATTTAGCGTTGAAAAAGTTCTTTCATATCCTACAAAATCTTACTCTGATACTACTTCACCCCATTTTTGATGCTCATTCGAAACCAGAATCCTTCACCAACCCTCTCACCTAACCATTTTGCAACAGTCAATCAGGGACTTAAGATCTTTCGATGCCACAAAACCCACTTCAGTTCCACCGGGAAGCAAGTGAGCCTTAAAGGCTACGGCTGTGGTCTCCACTTTGAAAGTTCTAGCTGCGTGATATTTTGATAAGATTGCTGATTTCAGGTGCCTTAGACAACGGTGAAGGCAATGCAAAGACACCAGTCACTGAAAACGGCATTTATTTCCCCCAAACGTTGGTTTCCTCGACAAATTTCCCCCTATCAACCTCGGAAGTGGCTTTAACACCGAGTGCTGATGACGATCAAGACGTTGGGTTCACTTCTGAAGCCATTGTGGACAACAACATCACTGAAAATATTCGCAAAGTTTCTAGTCGTCTCATAATGGAAACTGTCGAAGAAATTGATTTGAACATGGAATTTTCTATCAAGAATGATTATCAAGCCAGTGCCACAGGCACAATTTTGAGTAGACAACCGGAGAAAGAATCAGCGCAACTGGTCATAAACTTAGATAATCCTCTAGCTGAACTGGTCTCCGAACCGCTGATGACAAACAACAACATTCCTCCAACGTCGAGGAATCAACTAATGCAGAATTTGGCTAGAGCCCGAAGTCCATACGAGGATACTCCGGTAAGTTTCTGTGAATTTCTTTCTTTTGTGCAATATTTGTTTACGCAAAATTGCTTTTATTAGCGTTGCTTGTAAGAAATGTTGAAAACAGTTATGATGCAGTATGGCAAATTGTTTACGCATTGAATTGTCTCTCGATAAATATTATGTTCAGTGTGAGCAAATGAATAAAGAATCGTTTTTCAAAGAGAAATGGGTATGAGA